GGTTTTCACATAAAAAATGAGGGTGTGATGTGTAGGGGGGGAGAGGGGGAGAGGAGAGAGAGGGAGAGAGGAATGGAGGGGGGGAGGGAGGAGAGAGAGAGAGAGAGAGAGAGAGAGAGAGAGAGAGAGACTGAGAGACTTCTTTCTTTTCCCAGCTTCATCTCTGCCAAGTGCTGGCCAGAATCCAGGCTTTGCAGCCAGATGGCTGGTCCCTCCTTGGGCAAATGCCTCAGTAGCTGCCAGTGTAAAGGGGATAGTAATTGGCCTCCTTGTAGTGTTCTGAGCACATGCTGATGTAACAGAGGCAGTGAGCTGGCATGTAGAAACTCAGAACATACTGGTGGTGTTCTTGGTGGTGCCTCAATGGTGGCATGTGCACTATCTCAGTACTGGGGAGGAGGGCAGATGGGGTGGGCATTCCTGGAAGGTAAAGGTGTGAGCAAAAGAGCAGCTGTGGCCACATGACTCTTCCTGACTCCTGATGTGGCTCAGCTCCTGTCCCTGTCCTAGCCTATGTCTCTGAGTGTCACCATTTGTGGTCTACTTCCTATCAACTAGGTGCTGTGCCAAGAACTTCTGCTATGAAGTTTTCTCTCTGGTTCTTATTCTCTATGAGGCAGGTACTTCCACAGACCTGTTTTATAGATGAGGAAATGAAATTCAGACAAATTTGCTGAAGATCCAAAACAGGTGGTAGAGGCTGGATCTGAACCCTGGAAGCCTGCCTGACACTGTGCTGTGGGTCCTTAGTCCTTATGCCCTGATCCCTTTCCAAGGCATCACTAGTTTGCTGAATGGAAGAGAGGAGCTCTCAACAGAGGCATCTGCCCTTGTGGACAAGCTCATTGGGCATTTCAGACAAGAGGGGGTGTGTCTAGTAGGCCTGGAAACAGGCACGAGCAGAAAGCCAAGCATTCTCTCAGCTCACCTTTGCCACTTTCTTCTCCAGGCTGTCCAACAACAGTATTACCTACCAGGGTGCAGAAGCCCTCCTGCAGGCCCTCAACAGGAATAGCACCATCCTGGAAGTGTGGTAAGGAGGGGGAGAGAGGAACAGTGGAATTTTGATCAGTTCTCATGATGACATTTGGTATTATTCTACATAAGATATATTTAGATCTCTGACTATGAAGGGAGTCTGCATCTCTAAGCAGGGACCAGTTCTGCTCAAACTCGGTAGTAGTATCTGGATGTGTCGTGCAGACCTGTCATCTCAGCACTCAAGAGTCTGAGAGAGGAGGATTTTGCATTCTAGGTTAACCTGAGTTACAGGGTAAAATCCTGTCTTAAAACAAAGAAGGAAGTAAAAACACAAATAAAAATATAAAATGTGGAGTATTCAGAAACATCTTTGTTCTAAGCAGCAAGGTAGAAATAGGGGTGTGATTGGGTAATTAAAACAGGAGAAGCAGGGCTGAAGAGATGGCTTAACAGTTAAGAACCCTGACTTCTCTTGCAGAAGACCTGGGTTTGATGGTGACTAACAACTGTTTGTAACTCCAGTTCCAGGGGATCTGATGCTCTCTTTTGACCTCCATGGACATTGCATGACATGGGTGCACTTATATGCATGCAGGCAATGCACTCACACACATATAACTAAAATAACAAATAAAATATTTAAAGAAAAACCAGAGACGGGTCTTGCTCTGTACTCCTGGTCATGACATCTGCCCCTAGAGATTGAAGATGATCCATGTAACTCTCCATAACTTTGGATTCTGGAAGCTACACAGGGTGGGGACTGTGATATGGTGTGGCTATGTCTGTATCATTAAAAACCATAGTCCTTCCTGTATTTGAGAAAAATATCCAGATTCAACTTGGTTTAGCCTCTTTGTTCCTCATATAAAAAGCAGGAAGGAATATCCTGGCCTAACACACGAGTGGATGAGTGGAAGTTACTATGCATGTTTCAAGCATTGCCTTAGATACCCATATTTAAAAGTGAAAAGTAGCCGGGCGTGGTGGCACACACCTGTAGGCCTGTAGTCCCAGCACTCGGGAGGCAGAGGCAGGCGGATCTCTGTGAGTTCAAGGCCAGCCTGGTCTACATTGTGAGTTCTAGGACAGCTGGGGCTACAGGGAGACCCTGTCTCAAAAAAAAAAAAAAAGGCCAAAAACAACTGTAAACCTAAAAATTTACAGCCAATTTTGAAGGAGATGCATCTTAGCTCTGGAAATTGTTATTGAATATGTCAATGCTGTTGTAATGAAATGCTTCTTCTGATTTTGTGGTTATTAAATAAATAATTAAAAAAACCCACCATGACCAAGGCAACTTTAAAAAAAAAAAAGACCAAAAACAAAACCAACAAACAAAAAAATAAAAGTGAAGAGTTTTCCTATAAGCATTTGTATTTTAGGCCAGGCATAGTGGTACATGCCTATAATTCTAATACTTGGGAGGCTGAGGCAGGATTTTAAGGTCCAGGCTAGTCTGGGCAAGATCCTATCTCAAAACAAAAGAAGCACAATTTTTCAAGATTTTTTCAAAAGATCATCTGACACCTGGGTGGACATGGGCCATGCTCACTGCATTCTTAACAGATGTGGTTATTGCCTGAAAAAGAATAGCTGGCTTTGGGGAGTCTGTGGCTGGCAGGGCCCAGTGTTCCACAACCATCTGGATTGGACTGACTAGACTGTTCTGTCCAGTCATGCAACCTTGCTCATCCTGTGGAATGATCTGGGTTGCCCTTGGGGGTGGATAGTAAAAATCACATGGTTTCCCTCCCATGAACCTGAGGCTGAGATGGAATATTCGTTCCTCCCAGGCATGGATTTAAAGAATGGCCACTTCCTTTTGCAAGCCTAATGTCACTTGTCCTCACTGAGACCTCACTGCCCTTTATCCCTGCAGGCTCCGAGGGAACCTATTCTCTCTAGAGGAAACTGAGGTGCTCAGCTGCAGGGACACCAGACTCTTGCTTTGACATCTCAGCTTGTGAGTGAGCCATGAACTTGGACTCTGGAGCCTAAATGACCTGTGCTGCTCAAGGCTGAATTCTTTTTTCTGAACGCATCATAGGTCACCTTACTCTGGCAGGGGAAAGCACCCCAATGACCTCCAGAATCAGCTTCTCGCAAGAATGCATGATGTTTGGTCATAGTTGTCAACTGGATTGAATTAAGACACTTGTAGGACTGGTGGAATGCACTTCTGTGTCTGTGGGGACATTTCTAGAGAGGATCAGCATGTGGGGCAGTGACTGAAGGGGAAACAACTTTCCCTGAATCTGGGTAGCCCCACGGGAAGAAGCTGGAGGAGGAGGAAGGTGGCATATTTGCACATGTGTAAGCTCCTCTTCTTCCTGAACAAGCACACCTGTGCCCACTGCTATCACCTTTGGACAACAGACCCCAGTTTCTTCAGACTCATCACCAGCACCTCCAGGGAACCTCCAGGCCTCCAGCCTAGACTGGGACTGCTGAGATGACCAGCTTCTTCACTTGAACAGCTACTAGGTTCTCTGCTTCTCCAGGGTGCAGATGGTAATTGTTGGACTACCCAGCCTGTATGGTGTAAGTCAATCCAAGAAATCCCCTTTATCTATCTATCTATCTATCTGTCTGTCTATCTATCTATCTGTCCATCCATCCATCCGTCCGTCCATCCATCCATCCATCCATCCATCCATCCATCTATCTATCTATCTATCTATCTATCTATCTATCTATCTATCTATCTATCTATCTATCTATCTATCTATCTATCTATCTATCTATCTATCTATCTATCTATCTATCTATCTATCTATCTATCATCTATCTATATCTGTCTACCTATCATCTGTCTATCTATCTGTCTGTCTATCTATCTATCTATCTATCTATCATCTGTCTGTCTGATCATCTATCTATCTATCTATCTATCTATCTATCTATCTGTATGTCTATTATCTATGTCATTTTTCTTTTCATGCATGTATACATACATGTATGTATGTTTGTATCTATCACCTATCATCTATCTATCATCTCTCATCTATATCTATCTATCTATCATCTCTCATCTATATCTATCTATCTATCTATCATCTATCTATCTATCTATCTATCTATCATCTATCATCTATATCTATCTATCTATCATCTATCTATATGTCTACCTATCATCTCATGTAGCTATAATCATTAATAATCTATCATCTATCTACCT